GAGAGACAGAGAGAGAGAGAGAGAGAGAGAGAGAGAGAGAGAGAGAGAGAGAGAGAGAAAGGGAGACAGAAGGAGAGACAGATACAGAGAGGAAAACAGAGACAAAGACACAGAGAGAGACAGGGAGGCTGAGAGAGACTGAGTGAGACAAAGATAGAGACAGACAGACAGGAACAAAGAGAGACGTAGAGGCACAGAGAGAGAGAGAAAGACAGACAGACAGACAGGCAGACAGAGAGGGAGGGAGAGAGAGATGTAGAGAGAAGCAAAGGGGTGTGAGGGGGGGAGGGGTCCGGAGGGTATGAAGCATTCCTCACCTTCAGGACAATCCAGCTCATCGGACTTGTCGAGACAGTCGTTGTCCCGGTCACAACGGTAAGAGTTGGGGATACACCGGCCGTTCTGACAGCGGAACAGACCGGGCCTGCACGTGCTGATGTCCACCTCGTCCGGGTTGTGCTCACACGTGCGCTGGTCTCGGCCCAGCTTCATGCCGAAGGGACAACCGCAGTGGCGACCCACCTGGCTCAGGCCGTCCATCACGGGGACCACAAAGCAGAAGTTGGAGCAGTCGCCGTTTCGGAGTTGACAAGGGTTCTGGCCTGAAAGGGGGAAACGATGCATTGAAGTGGAACTACTACAGCCTGAATGTGGCGCTAGATTTATGTTAGATGCTGCCAGGCGAACGAAACGAATGCACAATATAGTGGAACTCTGTAAATCGATCTTTCGTCGATCTAGAATTGACTTTGACTGAGGAATTTTTAAAGATTATGGCAAATACCCTTCTTTTGGGGGGGGGGGGTTAGCGACGCAAAAAAATATATTCCCCTGGTGCAGTAAAGAAAATGGTGTTGGCGCTCACAAAGAACAATTTTATAGGGTAGAAATATTTCCTTTCTTAGGGGTCTAAACGTTGTCTCAATTTTAAAGACTGCCTACACTATCTACTACACCGGCCTTTTATACCGTTTCTATTTTGCTCTGTACAATATGGAAACAGTATTTTGTTCAAACATGAGTTGTAGAGAAGAAATTACATATAGTACAAAGTAGGAGACCCAAACAACAACCAATAGACCTTGAGATCAAGAAAAGAAGATGACAGCGAATTGGGCACACTTTTAGGTAAACCAAACCACAATATGACAAAGCAAAGTCTAAGATGGAATCCCCTAGGGAGGAAGAAAAGAGGAAGACCGAGATCCCCTTGGATACGAGATTTGGAGGCGGATCTCAGACTGAAGAGGCTCATCTAACAAGAGACAGGGAAGATCGCCCAGAACAGGAACAAGTGGAGAGGCCTTCTTGGCAGCCTGTACTCAATGTTAGGAAGAAAGAGGTAGACAGATATTGTAATGGTCTTGGGAATAACGAGGCTGAAGTTGTCTTCAAAATCTCAATTCACGAAATTCTACGATTCGGTGATTTTTTCTCTCTCTCTCTCTCTCTCTCTCTCTCTCTCTCTCTCTCTCTCTCTCTCTCTCTCTCTCTCTCTCTCTCTCTCTCTCTCCA